AGGCCCCTTGGAGCTAGCGAACACGTGGTTCTGAGTTTTGATTACATAGTAGAGCTGCAAGTGGATAGGGTAACAAGAGTCGATTGGGAAAAGCCAAACTATAAAAGAGGGGACTACACAGGTATGAGGAACTTCCTGCGGGAGGTTCAGTGGGACAGATAACTGGTAGGAAAGTCAGTAAACGAAATGATGGAATATGTAACAACAAAATGCAAGGAGGCAGAGGGAAGGTTTGTTCCCAAGGGTAACAGAATTAATGGGAAGGCCAAAGTGAGTCCTTGGTTTACCCGAAGGTGTAAGGAGGCAAAAACTAAGTGCATAAGAGAATGGAAGAGGTATAGAAGACAGAGGACCCAGGAAAATAAGGAGATCAGTCGAAGAGCCAGAAACGAGAATGCACAGATAGGAGGGAGGCCCAGCGACAGTATGAAAACGACATAGCAACAAAAGCCAAGTCTGACCCGAAACGGTTGTATAGCCACATTAGGAGAAAGTTAACAGTCAAAGACCAGGTGATCAGGATGAGGAAAGAAGGTGGGGAACTCACACGAAACGATCAAGAGCTCAACAAAAGATTTAAGAAAGCATTCACAGTGGAGACAGGAAGGACTCTGGGAAGACAGGACAGAGGGGGGACACCGACAGGGAATACACCAACAAGTGCTGGATGACATACACACAGCTGAGGAGGAGGTGAAGAAGCTAAGTGACCTTGATGCCTCAAAGGCATTAGGACTAGACAAATCTCCCTGTGGGTCCTTAGAGAGGGAGCAGAAATGCTGTGTGTCCCATTAACCACAATCTTCAACACATCCCTTGAAACTGTGCAACTACCTGAGGTATGCAAGACGGCAAATGTAGTTCCCATTTTTAAAAAAAGGAGACAGAAAAGAGGTGCTAAACTACAGACCAGTGTCACTGACGTGTATAGTATGCAAAGTCGTGGAGAAGATTATCAGGAAGAGAGTGGTTTAGCACCTGGAACGGAACAAAAGTATAAATGACAACCAGCACGGTTTCATGGAAGGCAAATCCTGTGTCACAAACCTTCTGGAGTTTTATGATAAAGTAACAGAAGTAAGACACGAAAGAGAGGGGTGGGTTGATTGCGTCTTCTTGGACTGCAAGAAGGCCTTCGACACAGTTCCTGACAAGAGATTAGTGCAGAAACTAGAGGATCAGGTGCGTATAACGGTAAGGGCACTTCAGTGGATCAGAGAATACCTGACAGGGAGGCAACAACGAGTAATGGTACGTGATGAGGTATCACAGTGGGCACCTGTGACGAGCGGGGTCCCACAGGGGTCGGTCCTAGGACCAGTGCTATTTTTGGTATATGTGAATGACATGATGGAAGGGATAGACTCAGAGGTGTCCCTGTTTGCAGATGATGTGAAGTTAATGACGAGAATTAAATCAGATGAGGATCAGGCAGGCCTTCAAAGAGACCTGGACAGGCTGGACACGTTGTCCAGCAACTGGCTTCTCGAATTCAACCCTGCTAAATGCAAAGTCATGAAGATCGGGGAAGGGCAAAGAAGTCCGGAGACAGAGAATAGGCTAGGTGGCCAAAGACTGCAAACCTCGCTCAGGGAGAAAGATCTTGGGGTGAGTATAACACCGAGCACGTCTCTGGAAGCACATATCAACCAGATGACTGCTGCAGCATATGAGCACCTGGCAAACCTGAGATTAGCGTTCCGATACCTAAGTAAAGAATCTTTCAAGACACTGTACACCGTGTACGTCAGGCCCATACTGGAGTATGCAGCACCAGTTTGGAACCCACACCGGGTCAAGCACGTTAAGAAATTAGAGAAACTGCAAAGGTTTGCGACAAGGTTAGTTCCAGAGTTAAGGGGAATGTCCTACGAAGAAAAATTAAGGGAAATCGGCCTGACGACACTAGAGGACAGGAGGGTCGGGGAGACATGATAACGACATACAAAATACTGCGTGGAATAGACAAGGTAGACAAAGAGAAGATGTTCCAGAGAGGGGACACAGAAACAAGGGGTCACTCTTGGAAGTTGAAGACTCAGATGAGTCACAGGGATGTTAGGAAGTATTTCTTCAGTCATAGAATGGTCAGGAAGTGGAACAGTCTGGCGAGTGATATAGTGAAGGCAGGAACCATACATAGCTTTAAGACGAGGTATGATAAAGCTCATGGAGCACGGAGAGAGAGGACCTAGTAGCGTTCAGTGAAGAGGCGGGGCCAGGAGCTGAGTCTCAACCCCTGCAACCACAATTAGGTAAATTAGGTGAGTACACACACACACACACACACACACACACACACACACACACACACACACACACACACACACACACACACACACACACACACAGGCCAAGTGTGTGATCGACATGTGCCTGTGACAAAATGGTAACTAACACACAAATATAAATATACACACAAGCAGTGACACTGACATACTTAATCTGGTGTCATATGAGCTCCGTTGGGCCTCAACGAGTGTCTGAAAAGAACGCGAGATACGTGATGATGTACATATGAAAGATACTAGAGGGCCTGATCTCAAATCTGCATACTACCATAACAGCGTAATGGAGTGAGAGATACGGGAAGAAGCGTAAAATAGACTCGATGAAAAGTATGGGAATCACTCGCAGAATATATGAGCATTGTTAATATCTGTGGGCCTAGATTTTTCAGCTTTCTATGAGTAGACATCAGACATCAGTGTAGACGTATTCAACAGGAAACTGAATAATTATTTCCAAGTATGCCAGATCGATCAGGCTATGATGGATATGTGGGCCGACTGGCCGCCAGCAGCATATGCCTAAGTGACCAGACACTCCACATGAAGTAGGAAAACTCCCGAAACAGGTCGCAGGTAAATCACATACCACAGGCAAGTCCCAGATATAATCTGGAATCATGTGAGCTCTGCTGGTGCTCACATAGAACCAATCTCATTGAGAAAATAACAGTTCTTAGAGACGATATTACGCAAGGACGAGGCCAGTGGAGCACATAAAAAGGGAAAACATTGTCAAGGAATAAAATAGTGAGGATTTAGAGATGGAAATCCTGAATAACAGATCAACATTAGGGCAGAGCTAGGTGATCCGCATCACATGTGGTAATAAAAGAAAAGTTACAGCTGCACTGTTCCACTAGTTAGGAAGATTGGCAAGAATAAAGAAAGATAGGCAGGAGTGAAGAGACAGAGAGAGGAAACGTAGGAATGTGCAAGTGTAACGATCAATTTACTGCGCTGTTTGATACTGAGGTATCTATACAGTGTATGCATGATTCACAGTACAAGTATGATTCACAATACATTAATCTTTCTGCCGTTTCACAATTTTTCCATCCTGTCTTACGTACTCTGATGCCACAGATACTCACTTGTTTTGACTGTTGACAATCCAGTCACTACTCCTCACTATCCTCCTCAGCCACACAATATCTTTCCCAGTCACTCACTGTCATCCTAAGCCACCCAGTATCTTTCCCAGCCACTTACTGTCATCCTCAGCCACCCAGTATCTTTTCCAGTCACCCACTGGCCTTCTCAGCCACCCAGTATCTTTTCCAGTCAGTCGCTATCTTCCTCAGCCACCCAGTATCTTTCCCAGCCACTTACTATCCTCCTCAGCCACCCAATATCTTTTCCAGTCACTATCTTCCTCAGCCACCCAGTATCTTTCCCAGCCACTTACTATCGTCCTCAGCCACCCAGTATATTTTCCAGTCACTTACTATCCTCCTCATCCACACAATATCTTTCCCAGTTACTCATTATCATCCTCAGCCATCCAGTTTCTTTCCCAGCCACTTACTGTCATCCTCAGCCACCCAGTATCTTTTCCAGCCACTCACTATCCTTCTCAGCCACCCAGTATCTTTTCCAGTCACTCACTATCTTCCTCAGCCACCCAGTATCTTTCCCAGCCACTTACTATCCTCCTCAGCCACCCAGTAGCTTTTCCAGTCACTCACTATCCTCCTCAGCCACCCAGTATCTTTTCCAGTCACTCACTATCTTCAGCCACCCAGTATCTTTCTCAGTCACTCACAATCTTTCTCAGTCACTCATCCTCCTCAGCCACCCAGTATCTTTTCCAGTCACTCGCTATCCTCAGCCACCCTGTATCTTTCCCAGTCACTCGCTATCTTCCTCAGCCAACCAATATCTTTCTCAATCACTCACTATCTTCCTCAGCCAACCAATATCCTTCTCAGTCACTCACTATCCTCCTCAGCCAACCAATATCTTTCTCAGTCACTCACTATCTTCTTTAGCCAACCAATATCTTTCTCAGTCACTCACTATCCTCCTCAGTCAACCAATATCTTTCTCAGTCACTCACTGTCCTCCTCAGCCAACCAGTATCTTCTTCAGACATCCAATATCTTTCTTAGTCACTATCCTCAGCCAACCAATATCTTTCTCAGTCACTATCCTCCTCAGCCAACCAATATCTTTCTCAGTCACTATCCTCCTCAGCCAACCAATATCTTTCTCAGTCACTCACTATCTTCCTTAGCCAACCAATATCTTTCTCAGTCACTCACTATCCTCCTCAGTCAACCAATGTCTTTCTCAGTCACTCACTATCCTCCTCAGCCAACCAGTATCTTCTTCAGACATCCAATATCTTTCTCAGTCACTATCCTCCTCAGCCAACCAATATCTTTCTCAGTCACTATCCTCCTCAGCCAACCAATATCTTTCTCAGTCACTCACTATCTTCCTCAGCCACCCAGTTTCTTTCCCAGTCACTCACTATCTTCCTCAGCCAACCAATATCTTTCCCAGTAACTCACTATCTTCCTCAGCCACCCAGTATCTTTCCCAGTCACTCACTATCCTCCTCAGCCAACCAATATATTTCCCAGTCACTCACTATATTCCTCAACCACCCAATATGTTTCTCAGTCACTCACTATCTTCCTCAGGCAGTAAGTGTTTTGGTGAAGCAGTGTGTGAAGTGTAGCATTAAGTGTGTGTTCTCCCTCACAGGAAGAAGGCTCGGGGTCGCCAGGTGGAGAGGTTTGAGAGTGTTGAGTCTGACGAGGAGGAGATTCCTTGCTTCCTCCGCTCCCTCTCCTCGGATCACGAAGATGATGCCAGAGACGAACCCCTCGACATCGACTCAGGTAAGCCACAATCTCCTTTAAAGATCTTCGTGTTGTAAAGCCAGTCTCCTTTACCTTCGTGTTTTAAGGTAAACTATTACAGTGTGTGTAAACTTATTATTATTATTATTATTATTATTATTATAATATTCAGTAGGAAGCAATAAACCATTGATTGATATTTTACGTTTCCAGTTTTGTTTTTCCCTAAGGATAACCTCATCCTTGCCAGTTAGTGTGTGTGACATTCCATCCTAGATGATCATGTGCATGTAAGGGTAACTCCAGCCATGTTAAAGGAATATTTCAAGCTGCCATAGTACAGTGCTTGACGATATCATCCTCACCCTTCTGACGTCTTCCAACTCAGGCTGAACATTTGCCTTACCTCTTATATGATGTAGTATGGCAGGGAAAACATCCTGCGTGGTCCAGGGTGTGTTAGGTCAACGTAGTCGTTGCTCTAACCTTGTAAACTGTCATATACGTCAGGGCAGCCGTGTGGCGTATATAATTTTGATAATAAAAAATGAGTGAGGCTAGGCTGAGGTGGGTAACCTCCATCACCCGGATCTGGGGGTCGGTGGGCCGTTAGTTGCTTGTTCCATGACCGCGGGGAGAGAGAGAATGTGTGTGAGTACTACATGTGTTAGAGTGTATGTGTGTGTGTGTGAGTGTGTGTGAGAGTGTGTATGTGTGTGAGAGAGAGAAAGTATGTGTGAGAGAGTGTGTATACTCACCAAGTTATACTGACCCTTGTGTTTGCAAGGGTCGAGTCATATCTGACCTCGCTTCTTTATTCTAAAAGATTGGTTTCATTGGTTCCTGGCCTCCAAGGCTCGGTGTGTGGTGTGTGCCTTCACCACCTTTTCATCTTGTACATTCTTCTTATTGATCTAGATTGAGAAAAGTACTTTATCTCGTCCCATGTTTATGCCTGTGTGATGTGTGTGCATATAGTTACCGGGTTATTGTTACTTACATGTAGGTACAAGAGCAGAGTTGTGCTCGTGGTGTCCAGTCTTCAATATTTGTCATCATATAATCCATAGTCTTCCCTTTGGTTGTAGCATTTAGAACTTCCTCTTAATTCATTCCACTGGTCTACCACTCTGTGAAGAAAAGTGTTATTATATCCCTTCGTCTCACGTTTTAATGTACAACTGTGACCTCATGTCCTTGTTGCACGCACTAACAAACATTTATCTCTTCATTTATGTTAGTTTATAACCTTAGGCTTGGTTATCGTGTCTTAAGTTTTCCTAGTCCCAGCTAAAAGACATCTTCAGCGCTAACAGTTTTCATTATAATTCGTATTTTTTCAAGATTAGGAACCATTTTTTAAGTTGTATGGTACACCATACAGCTGCAGCATATTTCAATTTTGGCCGAACATATGTTGTAAACAGCTTTAATAACATTTCTATATCGTTATAATTGAAAACTTTTATAGTTCACCGCTGTAACAAACGAGTTTCTTACAATTTCATTTACTTGACCTTCAGTGACAGGTACTTTAATATCCCTCTCTACGATATTTTCAATATTTTGTCAGTCCATATTCTTCATGTGGTCTGGTTTCACCATCTCTCATTTCCATTATACAGCATTTATTTATATTAACTTTATAATTACTCAGTTTATCCAAGTCAACACACAAATAACCCGCACGTAAGAGAGAGGAGCTTACGACGACGTTTCGGTCCTACTTGGGCCATTTACAAAGTTATTTGTGTATTGTTCCAGTCACGGTATTGTGCCTTTTTTGTTCTTTATCCAAGTCAACATATACTAATTCACTTATTTTTATTCTTTATTTTACCTAAAAAAAATTGCACTATCGGCAAGCATATTCATATAGCTTTTCATTCTTTCTGCTAAGTCATTTTTATAAACTAAAAACGTTATGGGAACCATTGCAGATCCTTGTGGCACCCCGCTGGTCACACCTCACAACGAGGGCATTTTTTTTTCTTTTTTAACTTTTCGCATTTTCCTCTCAAACAAAACCTGCCATCTATTGTAATTTGCATTTTATTAATCCAAAATTTTACAGTTTCCAAATTAGTCTTTCATGCAATGCTCTCTTAAATGTTTCCTTAAAGTCAAGATGAAAGTAATCTGCTCACCTTCCTTAAAGTCTAGATGAAAGTAATCTGCTCACCTTCCTTAAAGTCTAGATGAAAGTAATCTGCTCACCTTCCTTAAAGTCTAGATGAAAGTAATCTGCTCACCTTCCTTAAAGTCAAGATGAAAGTAATCTGCTCACCTTCCTTAAAGTCAAGATGAAAGTAATCTGCTCACCTTCCTTAAAGTCAAGATGAAAGTAATCTGCTCACCTTCCTTAAAGTCAAGATGAAAGTAATCTGCTCACCTTCCTTAAGTCCAATGAAAGTAATCTGCTCACCTTCCTTAAAGTCAGATGAAAGTAATCTGCTCACCTTCCTTAAAGTCTAGATGAAAGTAATCTGCTCACCTTCTAAAGTCTAGATGAAAGTAATCTGCTCACCTTCCTTAAAGTCAAGATGAAAGTAATCTGCTCACCTTCCTTAAAATCAAGATGAAAGTAATCTGCTCACCTCCTTAAAGTCTAGATGAAAGTAATCTGCTCCCTTCCTTAAAGTCTAGATGAAAGCAATCTGCTCACCTTCCTTAAAGTCTAGATAAAGTAATCTGCTCACCTTCCTTAAGTCAAGATGAAGTAATCTGCTCACCTTCCTTAAAGTCTAGATGAAAGTAATCTGCTCACCTTCCTTAAAGTCTAGATGAAAGCAATCTGCTCACCTTCCTTAAAGTCTAGATGAAAGTAATCTGCTCACCTTCCTTAAAGTCTAGATGAAAGTAATCTGCTCACCTTCCTTAAAGTCTAGATGAAAGTAATCTGCTCACCTTCCTTAAAGTCTAGATGAAAGTAATCTGCTCACCTTCCCTTAAAGTCTAGATGAAAGCAGTCTGCTCACCTTCCTAAAGTCTAGATGAAGCATCTGCTCACCTTCCTTAAAGTCTAGATGAAAGCAGTCTGCTCACCTTCCTTAAAGTCTAGATGAAAGCAGTCTGCTCACCTTCCTTAAAGTCTAGATGAAAGCAGTCTGCTCACTTGTTCCTTCAACAGTTTTCGTGACTCTGCCATAATAATTTAGTAGATTTGATATACGCATATGAACTTGAAGATCGAAAACCCACCTGTAGTTGTGTTGACAGGGTTCGAGTCATAACTTCTGGCCCCACCTTTTAAAACGAAAACACTCTCTCTCTCTCTCTCTCTCTCTCTCTCTCTCTCTCTCTCTCTCTCTCTCTCTCTCTCTCTCTCTCTCTCTCTCTCTCTCTCTCTCTCTCTCTCTGTTTAACAAGTGACTTGTCACGTTGATGACACAATGTGTGTTTAAATAGCGAGTTAGCTGTGAGCAGTAGCAGCTGGCATATCAGCTGCTACTGTTGCTGCACTTAGTAAGTACGTACTTAGTTGTACTTCCCTAGTTGTATTTACTCGACACTTGTCAAGTCATTGCTCCCGTGACCCGCTTTCAGGGCTCGATCATACCTTCTCGTAAGGCTATGTATAATGCTTGCCTCTGCTACCTCTTCATCTAGTGCATTCCACTTATTCAGCACCCTCAGACTGAAAAAGTACTTCCTAACATTCCAAATGGCTCATCTTTGTCTTTGGCTGTCATATGTGTGTGTGTGTGTACTCACCTAATTGTGGTTGCAGGGGTCGATTCATAGCTCCTGCCCCCGCGTTTTCACTGGTCGCTACTAGTGTGTGTGTGTGTATTGGTGTTTCACTGAGTATGTTACATACACTTGCTAAATAAACACTTCCAAGGTCTTAAGTCTCCCCCTTGGTCATGCAGGAGTGCACTGATTTAACTTTAGCAAAGGTGGGTGGGAGTGCAGTGGGCGAGTGGTGGTGGTGAAGGTGAAGAGTGCTGTTACAGTTGGAGAGATAATGGTGGTGGTGGTGGTGGTAGAGCGGGATTTTGGAGGTGATGGTGGTAGAAGGGAGATTTTGGAGGTAGTGGTGGTAGAGTAGGGAGATTTTGGAAGTGGTGGTGGTGAACACAGGAGGATGGTGGTAGTGCCGGGGGTTATGAACTGAGGTTGTCTTGTTGGCTACCTGTTGATTATTGCAGGAATCATCACTCCGTAGCCCGGTCTCAGACCAGGCCTTATGGTTGACGGCACCAGAGACTGTCTCATAATGAACATATTGTTAATAATTCTCTACGTCCCTCGTGGAAACTTTTGGGAGTCTGTTGGTAATTCCCCTTATGTTTGAAGGATTTGTTTAGGTTAGGTCAGGAAACAGGACGAGTGTTTCTTAACGCGAGTCTTAGTCATGTGATGACCCGCAGTTGGAGCTTTTGGTCATCTGACCGAGGCCTTCCGCTGGCATACCGGTCCACTCCTTTAAAAATTATGGTTATGATTATTTGAAGGGTGTCTGTTGAAAAGCCTTGGAGATTTAATACTTTTAGCGAGGGTATTTTGCACCTGCCTAACTTCTGTCTCACATAAAGAGTTATTTCAGTGTGTAGACGTGAAACCAGTTCTTGCAACATTTTCCTGGTGATATCAATTTCTCACCCGAGCTCTAGGAACTGCAACGTGTTCGATACTGAGTCGTTTGTACTATTGATAGACACGACCTGTCAGCGTTTTGATAGATACAGGCTGTCAACATAGTGATAGATACAAGCTGTCAACATAGTGATAGATACAAGCTGTCAACATAGTGATAGATACAAGCTGTCAACATAGTGATAGATACAAGCTGTCAACATTTTACTGTACAGTTTCCTGGATTACAGTTTTTCTTGCCATGAATTGTGGTGTTAATGTAGAGTAATATTCGTCTAGCGAGGATGTAAGGAATATCATCCTAGGTTTGGCATCTCTTGTTTTGAAGGTTCTAGTTATCCAGCTGATCATTTTCTTATCAGTTGTGATAATAACACCAGTGTTTCTTGATGATAACATCTTCCCAGGTGGTTACACCCGCCTCTCTTACCTTCCTCCTC